CTTCTTTATCCGTTCATCAGTCGGTGGACATCTGGGCTCTTTTCATAGTTTGGCTATTGTGGACATTGCTGCTATAAACATTGGGGTGCAGGTGTCCCTTTGGATTTGTATCTTTGGGGTGAATCCCTAATAGTGCAGTTGCCGGGTTATAGAGTAGTTCCATTTTTAACTTTTTGAGGAATCTCTATACTGTTTCCAAAATGGCTGCTTTTCATTCCGACCAATAGTGTAAGAGGAATCCCATTTCTCTGCATCCTCACCAACATCTGTCATTTCTTGACTTGTTAATTTTAGCCATTCTGATGAGTGCAAGGTGGTATCTCATTGTGGTTTTGATTTGTATTTCCCTGATGCCAAGTGATGTTGAGCATTTTTTTCATGTGTCTGTTGGGCATTTGTAAGTCTTCTTTGGAGAAATGTCTGTTCACATCTTCTTTCCATTTCTTGATTGGATTATTTGTTCTTTGGGTGTTGAGTTTGATAAGTGCTTTATAGATCTTAGATACTAGCCCTTTATCTGATAAGACATTTGCAGATATCTTCTCCCATTCCGTCATTGTCTTTTGGTTTTGTCAACTGTTTCCCTTGCTGTGAAAAAGCTTTTTATTTTGATGAAGTCCCAGTAGTTCATTTTTGCCCTTGTTTCCCGTGCCTTTCACCATGTTTCTAGGAAGAAGTTGCTAGGGCTGAGGTCAAAGAGGTTGCTGCCCGTGTTTTCCTCTAGGATTTTGATAGATTTCTGTCTCACATTTAGGTCTTTCATCCATTTTGAGTCTGTTTTTGTGTGTGGTGTAAGAAAACGGTCAGGTTTCATTCTTGTATGTGACTGTCCTATTTTCCCAACACTACTTAATGAAGAGACTGTCTTTTTTCCGTTGGATATTCTTTCCTGCTTTATCGAAGATTAGTCGATCATAGAGTTGATGGGCCATTTCTGGATTCTCTATTCTGTTCCATGTATCTGTGTGCTGTTTTTGTGCCAGTAGCATACTGTCTTGATGATTACAGCTTTGTAATAGTGCTTGAAGTCCGCAATGACTCCACCACCTTTGGTTTTCTTTTTCAACATTCCTCTAGCTATTCAGGGTCTTTTCTGGTTCCATACAAATTTTAGGACTGTTTGTTCCCACTCTGTGAAAAATGTTGATGGTATTTTCATAAGGATTGCATTTGTCTAGGTAGCATAGACGTTTTTACAATATTTGTTTTTCCATGAGCATGGAACATTTTCCATTTCTTTGTGTCTTTCTCAATTTCTTTCATGAGTGTTTTATGGTTTTGAGAGTATAGATGCATTTCCTCTTTGGTTAGGTTTATTCCTCGGTATCTTATAGCTCTTGGGGCAATTGTAAGTGGGATCAATTCCTTAATTTCTTTTTCTCTCTCATTGTTAGTATATAGAAATGCAACTGATTTGCTGAATTCCTGCATGAGTTCTAGCAATTTGGGGGTAGAGTCTTTTGGGTTTTCCACATAAAATATCATGTCATCTGTGAAGAGTGAGTTTGATTTCTTTGCTGATTAGGATGCCTTTTATTTCTTTTTTGTTGTCTTGATTGCTGAGGCTAGGACTTCTAGTACTATGTTGAACAGCAGTGGTGATACTGGACATCTCTGCCATGTTCCTGACCTTAGGAGAAAAGTTCTGTTTTTCCCTGCTGAGAATGATAGTCACTGTGGGCTTCTATGATACCTATCTCTATACCTACACCGTGAAGAGTTTTAATTAAAAAAGGATGCCATACTTTGTCAAATGCTTTTTCTGCATCTGTTGAGAGGATCATGTTCTTGTCCTTTCTTTCATTAATGTAGTATATCACATTGAGATGTGGGTCCTTTTAAAATACAAATATCCAAGAGGGGTGAATCCTGAAAACATAAATAGTACGAAAGGCATATTGCCCTTCTTTTGCCTGGAGCTGCATGGAGTACCCACGGGAAGTGGAGAAGGGGGGACTTTAGGATGGGGATTGAGAGGAGGTAGGTGGTATGAAGATGAACTTTGCTTCCATCATCATTTTCCCAGGATCAGCTTTTTCATGGCAGTTACTACATTTTGATACTACCTTCTCAAATATTTGAGAATTATTTTACTTTTTAGTCAAAATGTGTTTTTGTGTTACAATGAACCTAAAAGAAAACCGACAGTTTTCTTTTGCTTGTTTGCCTTCCTCCATCCCTCCCCCCCACCTTCTGAGATCAAAAACAATTATCCTTTCCTCTTTCTTCTTCTTGGGGTAGTGCAAATTTATTAAGAACTTGCTTCATGGGGCACCTGGGTGGCTCAGTGGGTTAAGCTTCTGCCTGGGATCAAGCCCTGCACCAGGCTCTCTGCTCAGCAGGGAGCCTGCTTCCCCGACCATCGCTGCCTGCCTCTCTGCCCACTTGTGATTTCTCTCTCTGTCAAATAAATAAATAAAATCTTAAAAAAAAAAAAAAAAAAAGAACTTGCTTCATAAAACTTGAAATGGAATTAAAACAGTCATTTGGTCATCCATGAACAAATTCCCATTAGTACCAACAAATAGTTTTCCTGAAGACATAGATAAAATGGACTGATATTTTCAAATTTTCAAATGGAGCTCTAGCAGGGAAAAAGTTCTTGGACACCTCTTTAATTCTTAAAGGCGGGTTGTATTTTACATTTTTTCTTGATGCATGTTAGAATGTAAGATATAGAGAAACATTTGTTACTGCAATTAATGACAATTGAGATTAAACTTTATTTCTTCAGAGACATTACCAAATGAAGTTAATTAATAATTTCACTTGGCCAATTAACTCCATTTCCAGGATAGTAGCTAACTGAATCATCCTTCCACCCCAACTCAGACACACACTCATACACACACACACACACACACACACACATGCATTCATGCCATTTCTTCCCTAAGTATGGTATTAGGGAGTCAGCATAAACTGATTTCTGAGGATAATAGACCTTCTGCCTAAGAGCTTCCAGGAGAGAATTAGTGGCCTTAGGATAAAGCCCTTCCTGCAGTTCCACCTTTTAGAAAAGTAAGAATACAACAACCTACAGATAGCCTTACAGAATATACCTTGCCCTAATTCCAGCTTTATTACTGTTCTCATCTGGGGGAAGGTGGCATCCCATCACCCATCCCAAAATGGATTTTGAGTGGTGAAGTTGTCAAGACTGCTGGCAGCTATGCAGTCTAAGACCCTAAGAACCTCGCCTACAGCTCTTCCTACATGCCTCTGAGAGAAGGCATATGAGCTAGATTTTCATTCAAGATTTAGTTGAGGAGTCAAAGTTTCAGTTATATGCAAATGTGATGACTGTTTGCTCTTATGCTTTAGCCAACTAGAGCACAGACACTATTATGAAATGGACAGTTTCCAGGAGTGACCTAGTGCCTGTTCATTTTAAGATGTATATATTATTATCCTTGTTGAATAAATCACTCCCACCTTGTGGGAACTAGGTACTTAACTCGGTAGATTTTTCTTAAAGCTGTGTTCATTTGATGTCTCAATTACCCCAGTGGTGTATTTAAGATCTGTACGGACTCATGATCTCTAAGGCTACTAAGGTATAGTTTTACTACTTTATATTACCTAGTATTAACGGATAAAAATATACTTTAAATCTGAAATGTTGGTGAGAACATACTGAACCTGCACACTGATGGGTATAGAAGGTGTTTTGGTTATTGTCAGGGCACAACATGAACAAAACCCATTGTTTCTAATTGTTAGTTGTTTGGAGAGCTAACCAATGGCATTCAGAGGCCTCATCTCTCCTTCCAAGGCAAATGGTGATGGGTTAGCACACTGGGTAGACTGAGAGGTTCCATTTCCATTACAAAGTTCCTTTAGTTATGGGATTGAGCCCAGAGGGGGCCTAAACCTTCCAGATCCCTTTTTCTTCTGTCTGCCCCCATTCTGGTAAATAATGGGCAATTATTGAGCACTCAGAATGTGCTAGACAGTATGCCAAATGCTTTTCATATATTATTCTCATCCTCACAACAACCTAATAAGCTGCAGGTACTTGTTTTACAAATGTACAAATTGAGGTTAAACAATTTAAGATTCTTGCTTAAGAGCTGGAATTTCAGAGGGTTTTCCCCCTGCAATTGTCAGGCACTATGTGAAGTGCCAAGAGTATAAAAATAATTATGACACAGACCTTGTCTTCAAGGAGCTTATGTTAATGGAAACAGACATATTAACACATAATTTCACTTTAGTAGGATAAGTGCCTTGACAAATATGAGCATAGAAGTGATGGGGGCCTAGAGGAAGGGACTGATTATTGGAGTTTGGAAGTTCTAAGAAAGCATCCAGGAGGAAGGGAAGTTTGAGTGGACACTGGACAGTTTAACTACAGTGAACCTAGCTTCTGGGTATATTATCAGACTGCCCTAGAACTAGGAGTAGAGAACCCAAAGATGGCAACCAGAGGGCAAGTGTTTGCCAGTCAGCCTCAGCCAGCGTGTTTGTGTGTGGGTATTCCTAAGATCTGATATTTGGGGTGATAAACAATAGCTAATAAGTTCACAAACAAACCAGGAAAAGCCAAAAAATTTGAATGCACAGGCCTGAAATATTATTAATCAGTTATGTGTCTGAGTTCTTGAAAAGTACTATTTTATGGCTTGATTTTATTAGTACAACATTAATTTTTTAATGTTATAAAGTAGTGATGCTGGATTAATGGTTGTTTAACAAGTGAATGGATGAGAGAATTAATGATAAACAACAGGGGTCAACAAATATTTTCACTAAAGGGCCAAATAATAAAATCTCAGGCTTCATGGGCTTATGGTCTGTTGTGAATATTCAGTCGTGTTATAGCACAAAAGCATCCATTGATATTAAGTAAATGAATGGGTATCTTTGGTCCTAATAAAATTAAAAAAAAAGAAAAGGTGGCAGGCCAGATTTGACTGAAGGTAAAACTTGTAAGAGACAGATGTATTTGCTTCTTTCGAAATGTAGAGTTTTAAAATTCTGTGCTTAATTATGTGCAGGTGACATATCTGGGGAAGGAGCTTTTAAAGTATGTTTCTGAGGAAGTGCCCATACCTGCAGAGCCAGTCGTGGTGCCTCAACAACATCAGCCTTGTCTTCCAGGTACGTGCAGACCTACAGCCATTTCTTAGTCACGAGAAAGGCACCCAAAGGTATGGAGACAGCACTGCTTTTTTTGTATAACATGAAAATAACTGTCTTAATGTGAATAATTCAATAGCATTTTGTTGTTGTTGTTATTTAAATTCTAGGTAGTTGACATAGAGTTCAGTATGGTTCAGGAACAGAGTTCAGTGGTTCATCACTTATGTACAACACCCAGTGCTCATCATAACTTGTAACTTGTGCCCTCCTTAATGCCCATCACCCATCTAGCTAGCGCATCCACCACCCACTTCCCTCCAGCAACCATCAGTTTGTTCTCTATAGTTAAGAGTCTCTCATGATTTGTTTCTCTCACTCTTTCTCCTCCTCCTGAATGTTTCGTTTTGTTTCTAAAATTCCACATATGAGTGAAATCTTTTCTCACTGACTTGTTTTGCTTAACGTAATATTTAGTACATTCACAATGTTGTGCAACCACCACCTTTGAGTAGTTCTAAAACAACTTCCATTACCCAAATAGAAACTCCACATGCATTCAACAATCCCCCTTTCTGTATGCCTCCCAATCTACTTTCTGTCTTTATGAATTTGCCTGTTCTGAATGTATCATATAAGTGGAATCATATAACTTCCTGTGTCTGGCATCTTTCACTTAGCATAATGCTTTCAAGGGTCCTGCCTGGATGGATGTTCAGTTTCTACTTTTTGGCTGTTGGGTATAGTGCTGCCGTGAGCACACGTATACATGTATTTGTACCTATTTTTAGTTCTTTTGGATAGATACGTAGGAGTGGAGTTGCTATATCATATAGTATTATATGTTGAACTTTTTGAGGAACATCCAAAATGTTTTCCACAGCAACTGAATCATTTTACATCATATCAACAATATACAAGGGCTCCAATTTCCCCATATCCTCACCAACACTTGGCATTTTCTCTTTGTTTACAACACTGCATTTTTAACCACAGTTGATTGTAGAATTTTTTAAATGACACCTTCCCTCACAGTTCCTTTCTCTGAACCTATGCTTACTTTGGGTAGATTTTTTAAAGTATCATACAGAAAGGAAAAATGGCATTTTTCCCCTCCTGCAGGCATGATTTGGTAAGTTTTCTAAAAGCAAGTACTAAAATAAATCTTTGCTTATTAGTGTAAACTAATGTGCTTTATCTGATGGAATAGACTTTAACCTGAGAAAACTGAAGAGAATGTAGTCTTCACCGATAGCAGCGGATTTTGAAACGATCTGGAGAGAGGCAGCACACATTTCTGTAAAACAGACATAACTAAGGTTGTGTTACCCTTCTCTGCTGCAGCACCCCCTCTTTTTCCACTAGTGTCCCTGCCTCAGACCAGCTGGGGACAATATAGTCAGAAAGGAGATACAATACAGGAGACGATAGTTCTGTGGTAACAAGAGTCAAGAACCAAACAGGGATTACTATCACTAAGCCCCTAACCAGGGGCTCCCCAGGGCCATTCCTTCCTAACAAACCTTAATAATTCACTATTTCCCTCTCTAATTTTATACCTGATCCACTGTAACCTCTTAGGGTCCTTCTTTGTTCTCAAAAACTGGCTCCAGAATAGGATGCATTTTCCCCAGTAGTCTGAAGATAGCCTCAAAAGTGCTTTTCATCACTTTGGGAAAACCAGTCAGGTAAAACAGAAATTATGAAGAAGTTAAGGGGTTTAAATTGGACAGAGTTCTTGTAGTAATTTCTGGTCTTTGGTTCCTAACTCTCACTGCAGCTCTCTACCTAATCAAAACTTGGCATGGGGCCCAGGAACCTGAACTTTTTAAAATGATTCTTATGCAGCACGACTATAGACTCTGAATGACTAGTAAGTAGTATCTGATTTCTTACACAGATTATAATTTGAAAACTCTTATATTCAGCCCTTCAGCTCGATCCCACACCACACCCACTCTCATGCTTGCATGCATTGCCTGCCTCCCTCCCTCAACCTCTCGCGCTCTCTCTCTCTCTCTCTATCACACACACACACACACACACACACACAAGAAAGCTAAGCACAACCTTCATCCTCCTAGTTTCTAACCCCAAGAGTCAGAACAGAAATACAGGATCTTCCTTGTATCACACAGGTTATCTCCTCAGATTTTCCAGTTCTGAGCAGGCATTTTCAACCCTAGCCATGCTTCTCCTTCCTCAAGAGGGCTCACAGTGCCCCTGCTAAGTGAGCATGAAATTAAAAAAATGGGTTCTGAATGGCTGCTTCTGTTTCCTGTAATATAAACAAGTCTCTTGTTACTAATTTCTTTCAGAAATACTGTATTTTCTTTCCTTTAGCTATATCAGAAAATGTTAATGAACTCTATGGAGGGCCCATAGGCCAGCCAGTTTCTTGTTGCCTTAATCTGGGCCTAAGAATCTGCAAGTCTCTATTGGCATTACTTTTCTCTTTTTCTTTCTTTTTTTTTTTTAAGATTTTATTTGTGTATTTTATTAGAGAGGGAGCATGAGCAGGGAGAGGGGGAGAGGGAGAGAATCTCAGGCAGAATTCCCGCTGAGCACAGAGATCCATCTCAGGACCATGAGATCATGACCTGAATCGAAACCAAGAGCTGGACGCTTAACCTACTGAGTCACTCAGGGGCCCTCTACCTGCTGGCATTCTGTAGGCTGCTGTTGGCGTTTTACTTGAACCTGTTTGATTTAAGGTTCTTTTGTATGTGGTTTTGTAGTACCTGACAGAAATCCAAAGACCCGGCAAGTTAGAAAAATGTAAACTCTTTAACAAGCAAACTATCCAAGAGAGAATCTTTTTCCCTCTTTTGCATATCAAAACGTGGTCATGGAAATCATGGAACTGACACTCTAGATTGCACAGAGTTTAAAGGATAAACAAGGCCATATGGATTTCATCAGCCCACTTCAGATCATGAACATAATCTGTTATTTTATACTTTTTTAAGATTTTATTTATCTACGTGACAGAGAGAGAGACAGTACAGGCTGGGGGAGTAGCAAGGAGAAGGCAGAGGCAGAGGAAGAGGGAGAAGCAGGCTTCCCGTTGAGCAAGGACCCTGATATGGGGCTCAATCCCAGGACCCTGACTGAGATCATGACTGGAGCCAAAGGCAGATGCTTAACTGACTGAGCCTCGCAGGCACCCCTCTCTTACACTTTTTAATGATCACTCCAAAATACTGTTTTTTGGGAATACAGGAATGAGGAGGAGCTATTTACATTTTCCATAGCTAGAGTAACGATGCTTCCCAGCTAAAGCACCGCAGTCCTCAATCCAGCCAAATTATTAGTAGCACTCCCCTTCATTTTCAGATGTGCCTTGTTTAGATGACCCAGTACAGGAACCAAGCAAATAGGTATTGGAAAAAATGAAATTTGGACATGGTAAAAAGAGAGAGAGCAACTCTTCAATTTCATTTACTTTTTTAAAAAGTTTTTAAATTCCAGTTAGTTAACATACAGTGTAATACTAGTTTCAGGTATCGAATTCAGTGATTGATCATTTCTGTACATCACTCTGTGTTTATCATGACAAGTGCACTCCTTCATCCCCATCACCTATTTAACCCATCCCCTACCCCTCTCCTCTCTGGTAAACATCAGTTTGTTCTCTGTAAGAACTATATAGATAGTTCTTACATACTGTTGTCTAAATAGGCAAATCTTATGCATATCACTTTATATTACAAATAATTGCTGGTTACCTAATGTTCACCGCCTGACAGAGAAGGTCTTTGAGTTTAGAGTGACTTTTCTAAACTCTTAGTCCCTATTATATTCCCCCAAAGACTGGCAAAGTAGCTTCCCAGTAAACATTTATTAAATAATGTTTATTCATTGCATAAATAATGAATGGATGGAAGCATGAATACGATCCTAAGGAGAGCTAATTTAAAACTGGATTTACATGTGATTGACTGTCCTCATAAGTAGACATGCCTAGATCTCACAGGCTATAATGAATGGAGTTTGTTGTGAAGAATTCAACAAATAGTAAATGGGATTTTGGTTAGTTAATATTATCTCCTTTATTTGATCTTTCTGCTTCTGACTGTGAGATATAAGAGTTATGGCCCTTCACATTTTCTGAACCAATTATTTTTAAAACAGCTATATCCCTCTATCTCCCCGCACTTCCTCCTCCCCCTCTTTATGAGAAATCATTAATCTGTTTAGCTTTTGTAACCATTTCCTAAACTTTGATCAAATGGTATCAACACTTCATGGGACAAATAGCAAACTCAATATACAGTTGATTTCTACATACCATTTTGGAATTCTAGTATCAAGAAAATCCTGAGTCATGAAGATAAGTGATAAAAGTTTTTAATCTTGCCATTTTCAAGACTTTCCTCAATGAATCAGAGATGATGGAAGAACTTTATTCCTAGTCCTGCACAGAAACTAGTTAAACTGGTAACCCAGATTAGTGTGTTGGTGGACTCTACAATATGGTATATTAATACATTTGAAGGCATATATTATTTCTAACTAAAGATTTTAAAAATACAAACACCAGCCTTTAAAAAATGAAATTCTGTTGATGAAATCCTGAAGTACCTCTCCCTAAAGTCCTTAGAAGCTGTAAAATAGAGTGAATCTATGGTGCATTTTCCCTTGAAATTTCCCAAGTTCCTCTCAAGCCTCTCTTCTCTCTGCCTACCTGGCTGTAGTTTCTCTTCTGTGTTTTTGAGGGAATCTTCATTGATATTTCAGAATAAACTGGAGGGGAAAAAATGAACATTCCCAAACTTCTACATAATTTGTGATCACTGTGTACAGACATATCAACCTTTTCCACAGTTGTTTAAAAAGAATCTGTTAAGGTAGATGACATTTCATTATTTACCTGAAAAGTCAGTTTTATATATATCTATGTCACCTGTCACCACAGTATTAGGACAGTCAAAGCACATTATGCCAAATGTATTCATCTAAGAAAAAAAAAAATTATCTCCTGAAATCTTTATTTTCCCAAGCCATCATTTACTGCATATTAATTTACTGCATAATTAATTAATGTCAGTTTCTTTTGAGGGGACCTAACATTATTTCTTCATTTGAAAATAGAACAAGCTTTTTCAGAAAAAATAGACTCTTTTTTGTTTCTAATAAAAGCTGTCCTTGACCTACCAATAATATGTTAGAGGAAGAGTTTTCTTCCTCTAACATATTAGAGGAAGAGTTTTCTTCATTTCGGTGAAATTTTCTTCATTTCGGTGCTGTTACTGTGCGTCATTGCTGGTAGAAGTATGTGTAATCGAGCACACACACTCACAGGTGCTTCTGTTTTATGTGGTTAAGAATTTCTTCAAACTTAAACACGTAAGGAAGATGAGTGCCTGATAACAGAGCAGAAGGTGTTTATTTCAGCTCCTGTTTATGATTCGTGTTGTTTTTCATTCCTTTTTATTTTAATTTTTAAAAAATATTGTATTTATTTATTTGACAGAGATCACAAGTAGGCGAGATCCAGGCAGAGAGAGGGGGGAAGCAGGCTCCCTGCTGAGCAGAGAGCCTGATACGGAGCTTGATCCCAGGACCCCAAGACCATGACCTGAGCCGAAGGCAGAGACTTAACCCACTGAGCCACCCAGGCTCCCTGTTTTTCATTACTTTAATCATAATTATTTTTCATCATAGTATCATGATTAACTTTGACCTAATTCATAAAATGGACAATACATCTACTGATAGAGGAGAAAAGAGAAGAAAACTAATTTTCTGTTGAGCACCTGCCATGTGCCAGGCCCCCTGCCAGATCACTGTGTATACATTAAGCCATCGAGGAGCTTCTAACTAGTAAAACTCCAGAGTTCATGTCTGTGCAACAAAGGCAGAAAAAACATGAACACTTTACATATAAAAATTTTTTTAAAGATTTTTTTATTCATGAGTGGCAAAGGGAAAAGCAGGCTCCTCACTGAGCAGGGAGCCTGATGTGGGGCTCGATCCCAGTACCCTGAGATCGTGACCTGAGCCAAAGGCAGATACTGACTGAGTATCTGGATGACTGAGCCATCCAGGTGTCCAGTCTCATTCCATTTTCTATGTCCAAGATAAAACTGTAAATCAGCATCAGCTTATCTTGAGAAAAAGGCTGTTTGTAGTCTAAAACACCACGGCAGGAAAAGGATGACTGAGGCTTCTGAAGGTAGTTGTACAAATTCCTCTGTGCCTCAATTTCCAATAAACCAAGAAGAAAATAGTTGTGAAGATTAGATGGGAAGTTGCTGTGAAATGACTGGCTACTGGTTAACATATAGCAAACATTCAATAAATATAAGCTGCTATTATTATTATTTCTTACTGAAAATAGTATTAGGCTGGAAGATGGATAATCAGTTTTCTAGGCCATACAAACTTGTGTGATCTCAAGCAAGTTATGTGACTTCTCAAGCCCAGTACAACTAGGAGAATAGCCATATAAGTGAGTGTGGTTCCGCTTGCTGCTCCTCGTCCCCAACAAGCACTGCACAGCTAAAGAACCATTCTGCTCATGAAAGAAGTAGGGAGAAAGCCATCCTTCTCAAATAATATAACCAAATGTTAGATATTCTGCATAAGTCTCCTTGAAGTGAACTGGGAGATTCATCACTAGGCAAAAGAATAGGCTCATGCAACTATTCATGTTATCTAGTTGCCTAAATTAGCACTTCAAAATGACAAGCTAACTAGTTAGGTTAAAAATAATTTTAGCTTTCACTTTTCTTTTTCCTCTAGTTTTTTAAAAAATTTCCCTTAATAAATCAAAAGCAAAAATAATCAGGTTCATTATATTAACTGATATTTCACTTCTGAAATATCACTAACCTATGAATTCTTTTCATTCAACCCATTTTACCTCTCTGGCTCTGTTTCATCATCTGTAAAACAGGTCCAAGACCAAGATGATATATAAATTCACTTCTAACACCAAAGTTCTGCTTGTTTTCTCTCTGACAAATAAAAAAATTAAGTCTAGGGTGCCTGGGTGGCTCAGTGGGTTAAGCCTCTGCCTTCAGCTCAGGTCATGATTTCAGGGTCCTGGGATCAAGGCCCGCATGGGGCTCTTTGCTCAGCGGGGAGCCTGCTTCCCCTCTCTCTCTGCCTGCCTCTCTGCCTACTTGTGATCTCTTGCTCTGTCAAATAAATAAAATCCTTTTTTAAAAAATTAAGTCTATTAAAAAAAGAAAAGAAAAATGGAGTAAATTATGACTGGTCCAAAATCTCTGTGTGCTCATAGACTTGACTAGGGTCTAGGATTTGTAATAAGTAAATTTAAATATTATTTTATAAAGACAGTTTTTAATTTGTTGGCACTTCTTTAAACAGGAACTTCCAGAGAGTCAATGCAAAGCATTCCACATTATCTACAAATAAATGAAGTACTATTAATCAGCGATCAAGAATTTCTCCCATGCCATATAATGGATCAGCATTGGAAGTTCTATGTGGAATGTGAAGAGCTAACATTCTAAAGCCTTGTTTTCGTAATAATTTATTAGACATTTGTTCATTAACCCACATTCATATTTTATGGGCTGGAGGGCCTATTTTAACATACTCTTCATGAGTTGCTACTTAAAATGTGTGTTTACCATTGTAAGAAAAGATATAACTTGAACTATTATAGTACGATTAATACCTTTTTGCTATTGAAATAAAGGCATTTTTGAATTAAACCATATTGTTTCTCTGGCTTTGATTTTACGAACATAAATGTAAATCTAATCTTTCAATCAACACCTCTACCTTTGTATAAATAACAGTTGTTCCTTAAGGGAAGTAAGGATAAAAAAAGTGATAATTGGTCCATAAAAGGCCCAAATAAAGTGAATCTATTTAAAATAAGAATTTGATGTCCAAATAACCAAAATGTAAAATTATAAAAAAGGCTTATTTTAAATTCCATAAAATTTAGCATAAATAAACCTGTAACTGTGATAAGTCATAGAACAAAAATGAATCAGATGTTGATTTGGAGGCTGATTATTTTAAATAGGATACTTCACCTTTGACTTTTGGTACATTATCATCACGAAGATTCTCTTTTTTTTTTAAGAAAGATATTTTTTGTAAAAGAAACTTGGTAAGTTTTCTTAAGGGTCTGTTTTCCTCCTTTGGTTGCCATCTTATTCTTCACTTGTTACCATCTCAGGCACCCAGAGAAGCTGTGTAACTTCATGGCTTGAGTCCATCCTTTCTTTCTCATTTCGGTAGAGAAGTTAAGCTGCAATAAAAGTAACTCTCACAAGTGCTAGACTTTGGGATAAGATATATTGTTGTTAATTTTTTATTTTTTCAGTGTTCCAAGATACTTTATATACCACACCCAGTGCTCCATGCAATATGTGCCCTACTTAATATTCACCACTAGGCTCACCCAATCCCCCTCCCCCTCCCCCCTAAAACCCTCAGTTTGTTTCTCAAAGTCCCCAGTCTCTCATGGTTCATCTTCCTCTCCGATTTCCCCAATTTACTTTTCCTTTTTTTCTCCTAATGTCCTCCATGTTATTCCTTATGTTCCACAAGTAAGTGAAACCATATGATAATTGACTTTGCTGCACTTACTTCACTCAGCATAATCTCCTGGCACAAAAACAGACACAAAGACCAATGGAACAGAGTAGAGAGCCCAGATATGGACCCTCAACTCTATGGTCAGCTAATCTTGAACAAAGCAGGAAGGAATATCCAGTGAAAAAAAGACAGTCTCTTCAATAAATGGTGCTGGGAAAATTGGACAACTATATACAGAAGAATGAAACTCAACCATTTGCTTACACCATACACAGAGATAAACTCTCAATGGGTGAAAGACCTCAACGTGATATAGGAATCCATTAAAATCCTAGAGGAGAACATAGGCAGTAAGCTCTTCGACACTGGCCACAGCAACTTCTTTCAAGACACATCTCCAAAGGCAAAGGAAACAAAAGCGAAAATGAACTTTTGGGACTTCAAGATAAAAAGCTTCTGCACAGCAAAGGAAGCAGTCAACAAAACAAAGAGGCAACCTACAGAATGGGAGAAGATATTTGCAAGTGACGCTACAGACAAAGGGCTGATATCTAAGATCTATAAAGACCTCCTCAAACTCAACACCCAAAAAACAGATAATCAAGTCAAAAAATGGGCAGAAGAGGGCACCTGGGTGGCTCAGTGGGTTAAAGCCTCTGCCTTCGGCTCAGGTCATGATCCCAGGGTCCTGGGATCGAGCCCCGTGTCGGGCTCTCTGCTTGGCAGGGAGCCTGCTTCCTCCTTTCTCTCTCTGCTTGCCTCTCTGCCTACTTGTGATTTCTCTCTGTCAAATAAATAAATAAAATCTTAAAAAAAAAAAAAATGGGCAGAAGACATGAACAGACACTTCTCCAAAGAAGACATACAAATGGCTAGCAGACACATGAAAAAATGTTCATCATCATTAGCCATCAGGGAAATTCAAATCAAAACCACATTGAGATACCACCTTACACCAGTTAGAATGGCAAAGATTAACAAGACAGTAAACAACAAATGTTGGACAGGATGTGGAGAAAGGGGAACCCTCTTACACTGTTGGTGGGAATGCAAGTTGGTGCAGCCACTTTGGAAAACTGTAGAGATTTCTCACAAAATTAAAAATAGAGATACCCTATGACCCTGCAATTGCAGTACTGGGTATTTACCCCCAAAGATACAAATGTAGTGAAAAGAAGGGCCATCTGTACCCCAATGTTCATAGCAGCAATGGCCACAATCGCCAAACTGTGGAAAGAGCCAAGATGCCCTTCAACAGACGAATGGATAAAGATGTGGTCCATATATACAATGGAATATTACTCAGCCATCAGAAAGGATGAATACCCATTTTTGTATTTTTTTATATTAAATATACAGAATCTGAAGTAACTTTGGAATATATAGGGAACTGGTTAACAGTTGCCTGCGGGTAGAAAAATCATGGGGCTAAACAGCTGAGAGGAAAGGGGGACTTTTAACTACATGTGCTCTTTGGCAAATTTTGAAGTTGATTATATGTGTGTGTTCTTACTGTTAAAAGTTTCGATTATCTTAAAAGAAAACACCTGGAAAGATTTCATATTACTAAAAGTGTAAAGATGTCAGATCATTTTTTATTCTTGTGAGAATCCACTGAAAATGTTTAGATTAGAATGCCCCTACAAGTTGTAATATTTGAGAACTGACAAGTTTATTATGCCATCATTTTCTTAGACTCCCCTATTTTTCTAATTCTTGAATAATGTACATGAGGTGGTCTATTTGGCTTTTATTACTTAAGGAGATATTTAAACCATGACTTCTTTGTAAATATATGTACTAGCATGGGAAGTCGTGTATATAAATGAAAAAAATGCACATTGTTAAACAGTGGTTAATGCAAGTCCTGACTGGGGTGCCTACGTGGCTCACTCAGCTGGTTAAGTGTCTGCCTTGAGCTCAGGTCATGATCCCAGGACTCTGGGATCGAGCCCCACACTTCTCCTTCTCGCCCCTGCTCATGCTTTCTCTCTCTCAAATAAATCTTAAAAAAAAAAAAAAAATGTAGAAGTCCTGATAGTGTTAAATAAAAAATGTACCTTTGAATGTGTGTATAATATATATAGTCATATAAATATGCATGTATTTATATCATGTATGCTATATATACTTGATGAGTCATGAAATGTGTACTTGTATATATGAACATGTGTGTGGGGTGGGGGTAGAGGTATGTTGAATAAAAGGTCTGGAATGCCACCAAGAAAATGATTTGCCATGTCTGCCCCTAAGGGAGTTGAATTGGGAAGTGTGGAAGGATACTTCTGCGGTGTACTTTCAACTTAAGAAAACACATATTTCTTTTGAAACTTGAAAAATATTTTTTAAAGAATAACAAGGTATTTTGCTTAGTTATTACAATTTACAAAAGTCATATACTCTAAGTTTATAGTACAAGAGCTTGAAGATCTGAGTTTTCATGTTAATGATCAAATTCTTAAATTTCCTAAGCCCATTAAAAAATGTATACACTAACTGGTAAGTAACAAAATATCCATTAAAAAATGTATACACTGGGGCGCCTGGGTGGCTCAGTGGGTTGAAGCCTCTGCCTTCAGCTCAGGTCATGATCTTAGGGTCCTGGGATCGAGCCCCGCTTCGGGCTCTCTGCTCGGCGGGGAGCCTGCTTCCTCCTCTCTCTCTGCCTGCCTCTCTGCCTGCTTGTGATCTCTGTCAAGTGGATAAATAAAATCTTTAAAAAAAAAAAAAATGTGTACACTAACTGGTAAGTAACAAAACCGGTAAGTAAGTAACTAACTGGTAAGTAACAAAATACCCTTGAGGCATGCTGGGTATTGCCCAAACTAAACAACAAAAGGGTCTACTCCAACCAGGGCTGGCGTCCAGAGAGCTATGTCACACCATATCATCCCTGAAAGAAGACAACATTTTGGGTGTTTGCTAGATGTCTTGTCTTTTCTGGGTTGAAACCCTCAAACTTCTGGCCATAAGCCATATAAGGGACCTCCAATAATAGCTAATAATCCAATCTCCTACCTGATACTTGTATCCTTTCTATAACATTAACTTGAACACCCCTGGATACTCCATACCCAACAAGGAAGCCTATTCCCTTTCAGACAGGTATTCCTAAGTGTTAGAAAGGTGGAACCACAATGTCCCAGGCTTCACAATCCTATAAGGATAAAAATACTTCTGTTGGGGCACCTGGGTGGCTCAGTGGGTTAAGCCTCTGCCTTCAGCTCAGGTCAAGATCCCAGTGTCCTGGGATCGAGCCCCACATCGGGCTCTCTGATCACCAGGGAGCCTGCTTCCCTTCCTCTCTCTGCCTGCCTCTGCCTACTGGTGATCTCTGTCAAATAAATAAATAAAAAATCTTAAAAAAATAAAAAAAATTAAAAAATACTCCTGTTTGTTAGGTCCGTTATTAAACGAAACGAGACTGAGACAAAGTAAAAGTTATTTAAAGCTTTATTTTATGATAAGTATTAGAAATCAGACTGATTGGCCAGGGGAACGAGACTGAAACAAAGTTAAAGTTATGCAAAGCTCTATTCTATGCCAAACATTAGAAGTCAGACTGACCGTCCAGGGCTGTCTCTGAAGACAGAGACCACCCCAGCTTACAGGCTCAAGAATCGACTGACTGACTGGTCAGGGCCGCCTCCGAAGAGGGCGACCCCTCCCACTCTTACAGGCTACGTTTTTTTTTGTTTGTTTGTTTGTTTGTTTAAAGATTTTATTTATTTATTGACAGAGATCACAAGTAGGCAGAGAGGCAGGCAGAGAGAGAGGAAGGGAAGCAGGCTCCCTGCTGAGCAGAAAGCCAGACGCGAGGCTTGATCCCAGGACCCTGGGATCATGACCTGAGCCGAAGGCAGAAGCTTTAACCCACTGAGCCACCCAGGTGCCCCATAGGCTACCTTTTATTGGGTGAAACTGCTACCCGTATCTTGGTATCTCAACCCACTGGGTTTGTGTGTCTCTTGCTGATTAGCTAGTTTCATCTGGTCTGGTGACGTGTTATTCAAGATTACTCCATACCAGGAACCGTTACAAACAGTACTTTTTGGGAAGGCTTAGTCAGTTAACATATTCAGTGTGAATAAGATCGTCGTCCTTCCCAAGATGGA